TTTTGTGAGTATTTATGTAACTGAACCTAAAACATTTTATTATAACCTGATCATGCACTGACAGCAGCACATGAAGCTCCTTCACCTCTAGAAGTGACGCTTTAGAGAGATTATTATGCTATGTCTTTTAAACTGAAAAATTAAAATAAGCTGTTGTCAGATGTTTTTGAAGATTCATGGTATTGGTACCTACTGACACAAATGCAGAGCATTAAAGGTTGCAATTTAAAACAGAACCCAGAAACATATTCTTACAACAACATCACAAATTAACTCGCAGAACATACAAATGGCTTTGACTGCACTATGTCTGTACATTCAAATATAATGACATAAAATGCCTGGCACATGTTAACTTACACTATTTCCTCCTTTGTCCGATTTCTAATTAGAACTTGCTAGTGTAAACTGAAGGATGCAACAAATCCTTCACAATCATATAAGATGAAACAGAATTATAAATATCCTTTGCACTTGCTAATGTTACATGAATTATTTCTATCAGCTTTTGGCCATACATCTGATCAGAATGGAAAGCAAAAGGAGCAAGTGAGTTTGCTGCAGAGTTCCTAACAACAGAGATGGAGTTCTCTCCAAGAGGGGTTAACTGTAATGGAAAAATAAAGAGAACAAATTGCATGTTATGATCTGCAGAAAATTATACAATGAAGGGGGAAAAAAAGTCACAGCCTTCTAAAATTTCAGGGACATATTATTTCAGGAATATCTCTAGCTTTTCATGATATTCTGCATGGCACAACTTACCATGGAAGAGTCAGTATTTTAACTAATGATCAATTTTATCAGCTTCTCATAGTAGAGAGTAGAGCAAAACAAACATACAAACACACACACACAAATTAACAATTATCTTTAAACCAACAGGTTTCAATTCCTCATTTCTCAAAATCAGCTGAAGGGAATGTTTTCTGTCTTTTCCAAAGGTAATACCAAGTGGAAGACTGTCAATGGAAATTTTTACTCAAAAGAGAAGGGTTTGTTGGTTTAGTTTTGTGGGTTTTTTTGGTTTTGCGTTTGTTTTTTGGTTTTGTTGGGTTTCTTTTTTTTAAAGAAAGCTATGACCAAATAGAAATATATTGCAGAATGCTATGTCCGCATTGCTTATAAACTCAACTATACAGTTCACCACCATGAATTCAGTAATCTGAATCATATTACCTCTGACTGGGAGAAATTCAAGCACCTCATGGAAAGAACAGGGCAGTTCTTGCTGTGGAAACATCTGCAGCTGCTGGCTCTGTAGGAACTCAGGCAGATCTGCAGCTACTTTAGCCCACAAGCAAAATTCCTGAAGGACACGATCGAAGAGTCATCACCTGAAGCTGGGCTTCAACCTCCTGCACCTACTTCTTGTGTTTCCCATGAAGGTCTTTCTCTCACATAGATCCCATCTATCCCTTGTTCTATTGAAGCCATCAACAAGACCAAAGCTTCAGTTAGTTAATTGTTGCTATTGATTACATTCAGCATGATTAATTTTAATACGTATGTTGTAACTTATTCAGCAATAATTTAAAGCAAAAAACCCACATTCTCCTCTTCCTGTATGGACTTTCTGTAACTACCTATTTTTCTCAAATAAAGTTATTATCCTAAACATGTAACACAACTTTGCAGCAAAGACCTGTGGCAAAAAAAACCTATACAAAATACGTAAAATATATTAAATTATCCGTTTTTTTCCCCCTAAAAAGGATTTTCTTCTTTGTGTTTTAATAGCATTGTCCCTCAAAAACTGCTTAGAAAAGCTTCACTTTTGAAGTTTTTTCTTACTTTCTTATTTTTTTTCCTGCTGTATTTGATCAAATGAAAGAAGGAAAAATAGAAAGCAAGACAAATCTGAAAAAAATTGTAATCTCAATTTTTCTATGACTAAATTCTTGATTTTAGTGCTGTCAAAAAGGCAAATAAACAACAAAAAAAATACTAGTCACTTTTGCAATGTTGTCCCACCCCAGACATGTCAAAAAAAGTCACTAATTCTCCTTGCAGATAATTAAGAACATATAGTTAAAACATCAGACATTTCAGTATACAGTAACAATTGATTTTGCTACCTGAACACTTAAATTATATTAAATATTAAATAATATTAATTATTATAACTGTAGCAAAGGTCTCTGGACCTAGAAATATACTAGTCTGACAAACTCCCTAATAAAAGCTCTGCAAATACAGAGAGAAAGTTTTCTTCACTCAACTTTATAATGCCTATTTCTACTATATTTGTCTTACACACAGAGACAATAAATTTGATTTATATGAACAAATGATTGGTATGGAACTGCCAAAGACTCCAAGTTTCACGTACCTCTCAGGAAATAAAAACGGCATGAAGTAGACTTAGCATGCTTTTACACATAGGTGGTTGTCACAGACAAGTGAAATATTAATAATTATGCTTCTCCTTCATAATCTGCAGGAATCCTAAACAATTTAGAAACAATTACGTATAAAAATTTCAACAGGCAACTGAATGCAACAAAATAGTCAAGCATTACTGAATAATTATAATTCATTAAATATCAACTATGCAATTTACCTTCAAAACTAATACTGTGAAAAACTACTAAAAATATAGGAAAGTAAGTTCTATATTTATTTCAGAAGAGCATAGAGGTTTTCACATAATACCACAGAGGTTATAGCATAATGCAAAATTACGTCACACATACAGGTAGCGATACGCTTTTCTGTCACACACCAGTGTAACACCGAAGTCACTTGGTCCATACTGAACCGATACATTACAGAATAACATTCTAGAAAATTGGGTTCTCCATACACAGGTCTTCTCCACGATCTTCTTCATATGAATTTATATCTGTAGTCTTTTTTATTCAATTACATTACAGTTCAGACACATCTATCACTTACTACGCTTTATTCTTTTTTCAATCCAGATCAGCCTACGGGACACTGGATTCCAATTTCAAATTTGCAGATACAGCTGAAGGTTACTCCTTTGCCTGCAGAAACCTTGCAGGAGGCTCATTCAAGCCTAACTAGTCATTTGCAACTTGAGACAAGGACCTTTGAAATAAATTTGAAGTTTTCTGTAACACTGAAAACAGCGACAGTTCCTGCTTGTTCGTTATCAACTTTGTGAAAGCTGGTAGCAGCAAGTGACCTGGTTTCGTTAAGAAAGGGAACCTGTAAACTTGAATGTACAACTTCCTTGTGAACAGGAAGGACACCTGTAGACTTGCTAGTTTGTTGTCATGGAGCATTACAGGCTTTCAAAAGAAAAGAAAGGAGGTTGAAGACTAACAGTCTCATAACAAAACCGGAGGCTTCATAGAAAAAAACTAAGACTTTCTGATATAGACCCTGTAATTATTATTAGCCCTAGTAGTGGCACAGGTTCTTCAGCTTCTGAGAAAAATTCAAAGTATCTTCTGCTTATTTTCTGGAGAAAAGTAATGGCTTTGATAAAGATTACTATTGGGATCCAGTGCTGGGTCTCAAAATTAAACATGTAAAATACTGATGTCCATGCAGAAGAATGAGATCCAAACTATTAGTAGAGAAAGAAGAAAGTGTTAAGCACTAAATATAGCAACATCTTTTATTGCTACTTCCATTGCTAGCAATACTACTATTGCTACTTCTTTAATCTACCATGTGATAAACAGATTTGAGTAGAGTCTACCATAAGATAAAGAATTGTGCTGTTTATTTCAGCATAATTGTCCTGCTGCAGTTCAGGAAGAAGCTGCATTCTTTTCCCATGAAAACTAGAAGCAACGTGTCCCAGTGCAAGTTCATTTTATAAAACATTGATAGGTTCAAAATGAATATCAACAGTTTACTAATGACAGAGCCTTAATATTAACTGCTGATAACTCAGGAATTTCACATGCAATCACTCTCTGAAGTTACAGTTTTACTGTCCCTGGAGATAATAATTTCTTGGTTATCTAGCTGTGGTACAAGACAGTCTGTGGTAATTTTCAAGAGTTTTACTGCAGCAAACAACTCAATCTGATAACGCAAAGAATTTGATTGTTACTTAGTTGTAAAGCAGTATTTTTCCCAGTGCTCATTAACAGACTTAAGAAACCAAGGTAGTTAAGTGAGATGAAGAAATCCAAGGCATCTGATTTAGTAAGAACAACCACTCTGGGAACCAGCTGTTCACCAGGAAATCAAATAGATGTTAACTAGGCAACTGTAGCTACTCAAGCCATTCTGTTAAGATGTCTTTCCACTCGCCTTGCCAGTCACAAGGATGAGTATGAATACAGCACTTAAACTAAATTGCTCAAAGTTTTCACTTCAGCCTTGTTTCACATAACCAGAAGAAATAGATCCTCTTCAATGCTCATACAGAAATACTTAACGTGACAGATGTACCCATACATTTTGGCATCTCAAGAACCAATTCAAGTTAATGAGTTTCATCTAGTAATGAGAAAGCTATAAATAAACTGAGACAAAAATCATGTTACAACAAAATGCAGAATTAAGATCTGAATATAATATGCCTGGATGCAATCACCAGTCAATTAGAATGACAAATTCTGTGTGGTTTCAAATTAAAGAATTTTAATGGAGTCTTGAAGCTTAGATACAGAAATACAGTTGCAGATAGCCAAGAGTTCAGTTCCAAATGTCCAGGATTTCCACGTAATGCTACCAATATCTACGTTTTTAAGGCTGTAATTGAGAAGGTGAAATTTGCTTAAAGCTTTTTTTTGCTTTTCTTTTTTTTTTTTTAAATGAGGATAAAAGTTTTCCCAAAGTTCTTTTCTCTTCAACTTTTATTTTCAAGCTATGTTTTACTTCAGGTGAATGTCTTCTTTGGTTTTTATCATACTAGTATATTAAAAAAAAAAAGTTGGAAAAAATAACATGTGAACACATTACAGTTGTTTCTTCTGACTATGCTTACTAGTCAGGTGAGAAGTCTGGACTTTGTACACGTACAAATGGAGCACTTTGGAATGTAAGATCCGTTCTTCTCACACATGCCGTAATTAGCTGTCAGTTTCACCATGGACATTTTCCATGTGCACTTTGAGGTAGTCGTTTCTTGTAAACTTCTTGTGGCAAAGTTGGCATTCGGCCATTGGTCGGTTGGGGTTGTGAGTCAGCTTGTGTCGGATCAGCATTTTCTTCAGGCTGAAGGACAGATCACAAACCTAAGGCAGTGAAGACAAGACAAAGACAAAAGAAGTCTTAAAGCTTCAAGCACGTTTAAAGCTCCTTATATTACATGACTGAGGCCACAGCCAGACATACCTGCAACACTTTGGAAGAATAACTCCTTCAGAGAGCACCTTAAATATTATTACTCTGTCTGGTATCTTTTCAATGTTGCACATTAACAGTGGTACCACAGGCACAGGGTGAGGTGTGGGGGGGAAGAGAAAAAAGACCCAATATTCAACACACTGAGGTGTCCCCATTACATTATGGAGTAGTTTTTTAAAACGTATTATTCTGAGATGCAGCAAAAATTATGACAAAACATCACAAGCCTCTGTCAATTTGACCTCAAATCAAATATTTCCTTCCTGACCTCCAGAGTGACATTTGCTGGTTCCGAAAATATCAGTTCAAATTGCTCAGTTACAAGGAGGAAGCAGTGAGAAAAAAAAAGGCTCTGAAGACTGTAAGAAAGGTTCATAATTATTATAGAGGAAACCTCATTGTTCCAATCTTCCTCTGCCTGTCCAAGAAAACAGAAGACATCTTAGAAATGAAGGTGCAATTCCTTTGTAATATGATCTGGTGTGCCACTTCCCTTCCTCCACTGTACTCCAAGC